GGTTTGTGGCTGTCTAGTCTAGTGAGTCAAGTTAGATTGACATTTACCTGACCTGGAATTCTTCTGCTTGTATAGCTCAAATACATATTTAGTTTCCCATGTATTTCACTTCTAGGGACACCCTGCTTAAGCACTAAACTCTATATGTTCATCTAAGTCAGGATATTTGGATTATCATGCCTATTCTGTCTCTCAATTAAGTGCTACCACTTGCCTCCTTCCACCACAGGGACCATTCAGCCCTATTGTAGGCACGTGTCTGAATTCAAAAAGGGCAGTTATGATTGTCACACCTGACTGACATAAAATAACAATCACAGGAGTCATCACATATGGTGGGTCTCCTTTTACAAATTTGTTTCTTGTTGTTTTGGTAAAAAGTGTGTCCTTTTGTTGGTCTATGTGTTTATTCTGATGAATCCACTCTAACATACCAATTTCCCAAAGCCTTTGGATACCTTCATCTACAGTGTTACTAAGGTAGGTCAGGTACTTTAAGTTGACTCCAGGTAGGCTAGTGCTTCTCAACCCACCTAATGCTGCGACCCTTTAATATAGTCCCTCTATGTTGTGGTGACCCCCCCAACCACAAAATTATTTTCATTGCTACTTCATAACTGTAATTTTGTTACTGTTATGAATTATGCAACCCTTGTAAAAGGGTCATTCGACCCCCAAAGGGGTTGTGACCCACAGGTTGAGAACCACTGATGTAGGCCATCTTGCAGCCCATGTTTCAGTGAACCAAATAAATGATTGGATCTTCACCTCTTGAATCAAAAAGTTAATGAATAGTCTGTGGTTAGTGGGCCCATATCAACAAAATCAGACTGATCAATACTGATGTTCCTTGTACCAGTATCCCACACCATTAGCACCTATCCCCACACACATTCTCCAGGGTTCTGCCTCTATGTAGTAGGAAACAACAGCAGTTCTTTACAACTATAGCATAATTTTTCCTGGGTCACCATCTATACCTCACCTTTATGCACTCTCTGAGACTTAATTATAAGTGTAGGTCTCAAAGCAATAATGAATGGGTTGTGAGGTCATTTCCTGTGGGTTTCCAGCAACAGCTTATAAGGCATTTGCCCTCGGTAATGTCCCTGATACAGCTCCACACATCATCTCAGCAGGCACAGTTGGGTTAGTTTCTTCGAGTGTGGGTTGTTTTACTGGGGATTAACCTCTTCGGATTGGAGTGGGGTCTCAATGGAATCTAGGCACTCAATGCCTCCATCTTTCTGATTATCAGCCCATATGTCCCCATCTCGTGTTAAGGGTCCTGTTTCTTCTCAAGAAGTGCCCCTCTTTTAGTATCAGAAACCAATCTAGGCTGATAATTCAGCTGGCCTTGTAATTCAGCTATTCATATGATAAGATGTTGGATTTGGTTTTCAGCAATATCAGCAGTATTACTAGAAGAGAGAGGGCTTTCTTTTGTGGCACAAGTGGAAACTTTGAGGTCTTTTATGTGGCACTTGAGATGCACTTCTGAGATCGTCTCTTTTCTTTACTACATTGTCTTTTGTAAGACGAAACAGTCAACCAGGTCCCCTCTACTTCTCATCCTGACAAAACTGCTGAAAAATATCAAATATATGATCAAACACCATAAAAATATTAAACATTAAACATAAGTCTCACTTTCACCAACACCTCATCAATTGGTAGTGACAATTTGGATATTAGTTTGCCACCTCATGCCAATCCATTTTGTTGAGGGGCTTCCTCTTTTTTGTTCCTCCTCCATGTTATCAAACATAGAGTCACTTCCAGGGGTGGTCTCTCCTGATAGCTTATATATTAAGAAAGGTATTTATATCAAGGAAGCAGCACAGACAACTGCAAAGCAGTCTAACCAGTTCAATACTAAAGTCTGTGGAGGACCTCCCTGACTCATGCTAAGTTGTTAAGGGATGTTAAGTTGGAAAATTTTCTTCACTTGAATGGCTGCTGGTGCTGGGAAAGCATGAAGTTGGGAAGACTGTAGACTGGTGGAAATAAAGTCATGTAGATCCAAGGGAGGGAACATAGCACGTGAGGATAGCTCCCATATGGTGGCCACCAGCCCCAGAAGCCAGACATAGGATCTGAGGAAGCAGGAAGAAGAAGGGGGTCAAAAGGGTGTAGTTCGCTACAGTCCCCCATTTCAGGAAGTAGCTTATGAGCAAGAACCAATGGTGTTGAAAGGAGAAGTTCAAGCTGTAATGAATGCATTAGCCAAAAACGAGGCTCCAGGGAATGACTGAATATCCATTGAAATGTTTCAGAAATCTGAAGAAGCATTGGAAGCACTTACTTGTCTATGCCAGCACATTTGGAAGACTGCTACTTGGACAACTGACTGGAAGAGACTCATATTTGTATCCTTTTCAAAAACAGGTGGCCCAACAGAATGCTCAAATTATAGAACAATATCATTGAGATTGTATGCAAGTAAAATTTTACTTAAGACCATCCCATAACAGTTACAGAAGCACATTGACAGGGAACTGCCAGAAGTTCTCAGACTGGATTCCGAAGCGTATATGGAACAATGGATATGATTGCTGATGTCAGCTGGATCTTGGCTCAAAGCAGAGAATACCAGAGGGATGTTTACTTGTGTTTCATTGACGATGCAAATGCCTTAAACTGTGTAGGCCATGATAAACTGTGGATATGCTTGAGAAAAATGGGAATCCTGGGACACTCTATTGTGTTCATTTGGAACTTATACATGGATCAAGAGGCAGTTATGTGAAGAGAACAAGGGGATACTTCATGGTTTAAAATAAGGAAAGGTGTGTGTCAGGGTTGTATTTTCTCACCATACTTGTTCAGTCTGTATGCTGAGCAAATCTTCAGAGAAGCTGGATTACATGAAAAAGAGGGTGGCATTAGCATTGGAGAAAGGCTTATTAACTACCTGTGGTATGCAGATGATGCAATCTTGCTTGCTGAAGTGAGGAGACGTTGAAGCAGTTGCTGATGAATATCCAGGAGTGTAGCCTTCCCTATGGATTAAAATTCAATGTAAAGAATACTAAAATCCTCACAAATGGACCAAGAGATAGCATCATGATAAATGGAAAAAAGGTTGACATTGTGAAGGATTTTGTCTGATTTGGATCCACAATCATTGTTCATGGAAGCAGCAGTCAAGAGATCAAAATACTTATTGCATTAAGTAAATCTGCTGCACAAGACCTCATGTGTATTGAAAAGCACAGATATTTCTTTGAGGACAAAGGTGCGCCTGACCCTAGCCATGGTATTATTAATTGCATCATATACTTATGAAAGTTGGATAATGAATAAAGGAGACCGTAGAAGAATCACTGCATTTGAATGGCGGTGCTGGTGATGAATATTGAAAGTATTGTGGGTTGCTAAGAGGACAAACGGATCTGTATTGAAAGGAGTAAGACGAGATTGCTGTTTGGGGGCAAGGATGGCAAGATTTCGTCATACGTGCTTTGGACATATTGTCACAGGAGACTAATCCCTGGGGAAGGACATCATGTTTGGTAAAGTGGCGGGGCAATGAAAAAGAGCCAGGCCCTTGACTGAGATGGATTGACGGCTGCATCAATGGGCTTGGGCATAGGGCCAATTGCGAGGACGGTGCAGGACCGCGCAGGGTTTCATTCTGTTGTGCACAGGGCTGCTATATGGGTCGGAGCTGACTTGATGGCACCTAACAACAACAACAACAACAACAACAACAACAACAACAACAACCTCGCCCCATAGTTTAACAACTCCTCTTCAGAACTGATGGCAGACTTAGCTGGACTCGCAGAGGCAGAGGCAGCATTCTCAGTACCTTTAGGCCTAATCACACTTGAGAACTCATTCAAAATCATCTCTATGATTTTGTTTCTCTAGAACCACTTCCAGTACCAACAGCAGTAAAGCAAAACCCAAACGCGTCGCCATCCAGTGAATTCTGACTCCACGCAATCTGTTCTGACCGGGCAGGAGCGGCCCTGTGGGTTTCTGAGACTGACTCTTTCGGAGAGCAGAAAGCCTCATCTTCCTCTCAAGGAGCAATTGGCGGTTTTCTAGAGAAGCAAAACCAGGACACTTAAATATATGGATTAAGTAATACGTTTATATCAGGAAAGGAATTTAGGTCAAGAATGTGGCTCACAGAGCCAGAGAGGCTGCCCAGTCCAGTTCACTTCTGTGGGTCTGATGCTGGTGGGAAGAACCAAGAAGCCGTACAAAGCTGGGTGGCAGTGCATCTGCGATTGTGACAGTGTGGCAAGTGGCAGCAGTGGGCAGCAAACAGACATCAGCTGTGGATGGCAAAGCATGGTAGCTGTGGACAGTGGCATCTGCAGATGGGCAGCAACTATGGATGGTGAACAGGTTCAGCTGCAAATGAGGGTAGCTATGGACCACAGCAGCTGTGGTGAACTCCAACTAGCAAAACAGGGAGAAAGAGAGCACCCATCATGGCTATTACTTATAGTAGATCAAGTATGTCACACCTCCAAGGGGGCATCATCAGGCTGTGATGTTTGGCTGGGCAGCAGGGGACTTTGGAAGGAAAGTGCTACTGCCAGGCAGAAATATCAAGGCAAGTTGATAGCAAGTTATTACACCAGGTACAATACAAATTTCTGGTGAAGTGGGGATACCTGGTAAGGCAGGGCTATGTGGTGAGGTGAGGGCACTAAGTAAGGTGAGGCCATCTGGTGAGGTGGGATTGCCTGGGGAAGTTCTTTCAAGTCCATAAGAATTTTGACCTACCAACAAGGAGATCTGGGCCAAATTGCAATTCATCTCACTTCATCAAGAAGTAGTTAAAGCAACATGGTTCAACAGTAAGCCTTTGGGAGTCAGGATCCAGTGGTCTGGCTTGCATCTTGACCATGCTACTTCCTAAGCTTTGGGAATTACTATGTCTTCAAGAAATAATTTCAGAATTAAGTGAACTAGTGCCAAATGAAAGCTCAGACCCCAGAACACAGCACTGTGCTCTGTGCTTCACAATTACCTAGAAATTCTAGTAAATAGGTCTATTTATTGTACTCTTTTTCTAGAGACAAGGTGTAGACAAGTATAGACATTTGTCCAAGATCACATAGCATTGGAGTCCTGGGTGACTCTGTTTAAAGATGTTTGTTTAAAGATGAAGTACAAAGTGTAACTAAAACCCAACCATTGATACCAATCAGAAAAAAAGTCATAAGTTAAAAGGTTAAAAGATAATTTTTGTAATTATGAACAATGGTTAACAAAAAGTAATGAAATGGTATTTAAATGTCTGTGATTACTTATTTCTTAGCGTTCACCTGGTAAGGATAAGGTTTAGCAAGGTATACTAAACAACATGAAGCAACAGTGGTGACTTTAAAAATGACAAGAATATTAATTTTTCATTGAGTCAACAAAGTAAAGGTTCTTCTCCTTCATAAGCTCACTAGTCCCATTCTTAACACCAAGGTGAGTATCACCCAGGGGATTACAGGGACCCCTTGGCTTTACGTTGAGGGGAAGGTACAGATTCTTTCTCGTGAGTTCCAGGAGTATGTGTTAGCTGTCATTCGGGGGGTTTAAGAATAGGGTTGTAGTCGACCTTTCCTCTCCTAAATCAATTAGGCCCTGAGATTACTTGGTCACTGCTAGATTTGTCAAGTTCAGAGGTGGCCAGACATTCTCTCTACTGGAGCTTGAAAGGAACAGAGATCTGGCAAGATTCCAGACTATATTAGCTTAGCTTTTTCAGGGCTGGACAAACTTGTAGTCCAGTAACCCTGGCGGTCCTACTAGGGGCTTCTTTAGCTTTTTGCTTTGTCCATCTGGGATGGTTTGACGAATCGGCTCTTCCTTCATAGCTCCAGTTTATTTTTGTAGGGAAGACCTGTTGGGGGAATGCTAGAGGTATTCAACAGGGCTGGCCCCTTTCTACCAGTGCATCATGCACCATGGTCCATCGAAAAGAAATCTTAAAAACATGTATATTGCTAATGCAGTGGCCTTGCAGGCACCAGAAGGCTGGAGAAAGTACTGCATTGCCACCTGTGCACCCAGAACCATCGAGAGACACCTTTCAGGTTGTGATCTTCATTGGGATGTCCATGAAGAAGGGTTTGAAGTATCCACCTGCCTATTTTTCTACACAGTGCTGAGAAGACAAAATTAAAAGATAAATAGAAAGAAAATCTATGGGTAGATTATTCCAGCACTTTCTGGGATCATTTTGCCAAGCTTTTCTGTACAGCCTCATAGCACGTATCCCATACAGCCCCATGTCAGCTCTGCCTTGTCTTCACCCACCAGCTTGCCCAGGCCCTCCCCTTGCTCTTGGACGAGACTCATAAGTGGTTGCTCTTGGAGAGGTAGGCGATGAGGGCCACAGCCACACCCACATAGATGCCAGTTCCCAGTGTGATGGAGAGCACAGCCAGGAAGAGGGCCCGCCGGGAGCTGGTGCTGGCTTGGTGGAAGTCTCCCTTGGCTACAGCTTTGTTGGTCTGCAGAATTGGAGAGGAAGGAGGGAGAAGAAAAAAGAGTCAAGATGAACACATCTGAACAAACAGTGACTGGAGGTAGTAAAACGCTTTCATTATACTTGACCCCAGTGTAACACCGATGACCGAGACAAGCCTAATGATTGCTACCAATATGGAGGCTGGGGTCTTCAGGCCCACTAGGTGAGAGGTGGTGGGATCTCGCTCCACTGCTGCTCTCTCGACGTTGAATAGCATTTTCTTACCTGAATAACAATTTCCAAAGTATGTGCAGACATAAACCTCATTTAATCTCTACAACTCAGTAGGGTTATGAGGAAGATAATTCCAATTTTCCAGAAACTATAGCATTAGATCATTAAATCAATTGAAAGTTACTTAAAACTATTTTTCCTTTGCTCGGTGGCCATGATATCATAGTCATTTATGTCATAAACATTCCCTTATAGAAGGGTCGCCGGGAGGAGACGAGCCAGTCAGGGTGCAGTATAGCAATGATGAAATACACAACTTTCCTCTAGTTCCCAAATGCTTCCCCACCCCCCTTCCCTGCCACTATCATGATCCCAATTCTACCTTACAAATCTGGCTAGACCAGAGGATGTACACTGGTACAGATAGGAACTGGTAACACCGGGAGGGAATCCAGGACAGATGACTCCTTCAGGACCAGTGGTGAGAGTGGCAATACCGGAGGGTGGAGGGAGGGTGGGGTGGAAAGGGGGAACTGATTACAAGTATCTACATATAACCTTTTCCCTGGGGGATGGACAAAAGAAGAGTGGGTGAAGGGAGACGTCAGACAGTGTAAGATAGGACAAAATAATAATAATTTATAAATTATCAGGGGTTCGTGAGGAGGGGGTAGCGGGGTGGGGGGAGGGGAAAATGAGCTAATATCAAGGGCTCAAGCAGAAAGCAAATGTTTTGAGAATGATGATGGCAACAAATGTACAAATGTGCTTGACACAATGGATGTCTGCATGGATTGTGATAAGAGTTGTGTGAGCCCACGATAAAATTTTTTTAAAGACCAAAAAACAAAAAAATCTCCCATCTTGGACATAATTTTAGTTGATAAAATTCATCAAAAAATAAAATGAGATACAACACACAAACCTATTTCCAAGTACCCAAATTACTTAACAGAAGGTTGGCTTCCCAATATACACATTTCTTAAAATCATGGGTTGGACAGGAATTAAGAGGTTTAGGATGTTGTATCTGATTTGATCCTTTGTGTGTGACTACACACATCTTCTCCAAGAGCCTTCTTTTTTGTCCAGTGCCACAGCAAGATTAGAAAGGCTGCATGCTTTGTCACCTTACTCATAATCTGATGTGGCAAATTCATCAATCTCCCAGGAAATGTCTCTGTCAGGGTGAAGAGGAGTTTTATGGGAAGGTGTTTGTGCTCCTGACAAAAAAATAGGACTCATGCTAGCATCGCCGTTTCTCCTTTTGGTCCAGAATGTTGCTATGGGGACTAGAGTTGCAGTGGATGTGTGGAAGGTAAGAGAAGAGGAGAGAATTATTGGGATGCCAGAAGTGATTTAATGGAATGCTGGAACCTTGGTACCCCAGATTATTGTGTGAGGAAATCAAACACTTATACTTTTGTTGGCTAGGTGGATGGCTACATGCTGTTACACACACCTTCACCAATATAAGGAGTGTAGAGAATGTGACATGAATCAGCCATAACCACTATTTAGTGGACACAAGTAAAATGGCTCATTTGGAAAATGTGGATGGGTACCATAATGGCAGGTACATCCTGGACGCTTCCTGGTGAAGAGGACAAACCCCAGGCCAGTGGAGGGCACTGTGGCACAGCCCACTGTCCTGGGGGCAGAGGGGGCAGTGCATCCTCACTCACTGTCATGGCTCATTTACTGAAAACCAGTATCTATCTGACTCTGTTCCCTGTGTCATCAGTGGGACTTACATATTTTACATAAATGTCAGTGGGGACTGACATTTCACTTACTCAAACCAAAAAATACCAATACCTCTGCAATGCCCCACAAAGATTAGTCTCAGAGATAAATCATGGCATAGATCTTCATCTTTCAGTCTCTTAATCCCTGGTGTAAATGGGACATCGGCGGCTGTGTTAGGTTGAGAAGAGACTCCAGTCGGCAACCTAACCTCTCTGTTTCCTCCCAGCTCATGATGTTGAAGGCCAATTTAAATTTTTTCCTACTTCAAAATTTTGGGCTTAGAACTAAGCTTGGCTGCTAACATCAGTTTATGAAGCCGCAGAACTAAGATAAGGTAAAATGTGAAGCTTCCTGGGACAATAGCAATTTATTAGCTAATTAAGTCTGAATTATCTGGGCTTCATTTTATCTCACTGTAGTGCCAAATAGCCTGATGTCCTGTAACATAATTTACTGTAATTTCCCTTCTTTAGCGTTAGCTACACATCACCATCGGTCATTAAAATCACAACTCTTTTGTTGTCTCTGCTATCTTCACTGTCTTCATCACAGTGCAGGAGTGGAGAAGAGGGCATAAAATCAAAGGGAGGTTGGCTGGCCATTCTCTCCTTAGACTGTTAGTTCTTGCAGAGAACTTGGACCCAGACTTTAGCCTAGCTTATCAGAGTCTTGTACTTTATAATTACTTGTTTGATAGCTGCCTCCCCTGCTCAATTGTAAGCAGGGTCCATGTCTCTCTTGTCCTTGTGGCTTCCATGTAGTCTGGGCCGTTGTTGAATGAGTGAGATCCCTGCAGCTCATCTCCAGAAAGGCCCTTTCTGTTTTCAACCCTCATATACACACGCTTGGGTGCTTTGGTGGGATTCATGAAGAAAGCAGTAGCATCCCTGGCCATCTCTTCACTTAAGCTCAGGTCCAGCTCGCCATGAACCTTACTCTCCTGCAAGGGCATACGCTCTGCATTTTTGTGTGTTTTAGTCTAAGGCAAGAGGGCCAGGGCATTTGCTTTCACAGATAGGCTGTCTTCCAACAATGTTAGTCAACACATTCATTTCATAGATAGATAGATATAGATAGGCTAGTAGGGAGGCAGACGGAAAGCTGTCTTTAAGTCAACTTCAACTCATAGTGACCTAATGTACACTAGAAAGAAAGACTGCCTGGTTCTGTGTCATCCTGACCATCACCAGCATGTTGAAGTCCAAAGTTACTGCTATTGTGCAATTCATTTAACTGAGTGCCTCCCTAGCCATTAGCTCCCTAACTACACTAAATGTGATGTCCTCCTCCGTAACGGAACCCTCATAAGTACATGTGCAAAGCTAATTAGACCGTGTTCTGCTGTGATCTACGTGGCTTTCATTGGTTAATTTTCAGAAGTATACTGCTGAGTCATTAGTCTTCATTTTCTAGGTGCCGAGAACACCTGGGTCTGTGATCGTCTGCATTAGACAGAAGGTCCACCATGGCCTGATGAAGTTCACTCCTTGACTGTCACCCTTTGTTTCAGAAAACGGAGTTTCATATTTATAAAGCAGTTTATTTATCACGCCGAGAAGGTGTAACTCAACGGAAATGTTTCTTTTCATCTTGGTAATTTCAGGACTAAAACTCCAGGCTACCTTACTATACACTAATTTCCGTACTATGCACTGGGATTGGGTTTCTTATCTGGAATCCATGGATCTGTGGACCTGACATGGAAGGTGAGGTTTTATGTGTAAGAGCATTTTTTTTTTTAAAGAAGATTGCTCTGCCTACTTCATAGGATTCTCAAAGCAGCCTCCGATTCACATGTTCCTATCCATTGAATTGGAGGGTGGGGATGGAGGACAGGAGATGGGAACTGGAAACACAGGGAATCCAGGGCGGATGATCCCTTCAGGACCAGTGGTGTGAGTGGCGATACTGAGAGTGTGGAGGGAGAATGGGTTGGAAAGGGGGAACCGAATACAAGGATCTACATGTGACCTCTTCCCTGGGGGACGGACAACAGAAAAGTGGGTGTAGGAAGACGTTGGACAGGGCAAGATATGACAAAATAACAATTTATAAATTATCAAGGGCTCATGAGGGAGGGGGAACAGGGAGGGAGGGAAAAAATGAGGACCTGATGCCGGGGGCTTAAGTGGAGAGCAAATGTTTTGAGAATGATGAGGGCAATGAATGTACAAATGTACTTCACACAATTGATGTATGTATGGATTGTGATAAGAGTTGTATGGACCCCTAATAAAATGATTAAAAAAAAAAGAGGTGCAGAGTCAACATAGCCTTTCTCAGTGTGGGCAGAGCAGCATTGTCTTTCTGTGAGGATGAACAGTATAATCTGTCCTTCCTAATTTGTATGCAACCTGGTTCACAGGGCATGTCCTGGGGATAAGTGAGGGCTTAGCAGTGTCCTTAAGGAAGCCAACCCAAATATTCCAGGCCATAACCAGCACCACGTGTGGCACATCAACATTGTGGTAGACCTCCTAACCTGGGCGTGCGTCAGACTCAACCAGTAGCTTTATGAATCTGAGGCCAGGCACATTCGAGGCAAAGTGCTTCAGAAGCCCAGTGACTTTAAAGTTCCAGGAACTAGTGTGTAACCAAGGCTGAGCAAGGGGTGAGGTGGGGGCGGGGGTGCTATCTCCTTGGTCATTCCAGGATCTGCCAGTGGACTACTAAGAGTGGGTTCATTCAGTTGACTTTGGACCTTTGCATCCACCACCTTGTTCTCCCTGCTGTCTCTGCTTCTTCATTCTGCTTTATCAGCTTCAATGAGTCAAGAGAAGGCTGACTTGAACCACAACTGTATAAATCATGTCTAGATATAAATATCTTTTTACATATAGCACGTATAAGCATCCTGGTTTTGATTCTCTCAAGAACCCAACCTAACACAGCTATTTTGTGTGTCCCACTTCCTGTCTTGCCCACACCCCTCAAGTTCATTTTATATGCTGCCTGAACTTCTCTTCCCAGGGTCAAATACAGTGTGGGCATTAAGTGCCCTCTGTAGTGTCCTTGCACACTGACTCTGCTCCTAGTGCTTGCCCAGCATCACCACTCCCC